CTCATCTACATCGGGCGTTGTAGGAGATTTTAATATTTTGTAGTAATAAAATTAAGATTATACATCTTATGTGATCACTACACATTAAATGGTTGATAAGTTACACACATTACAAATTTTTTAGCATTAAGTGTGATCTAAAGACCAAAATAACTATAGCTCATTACGCATAATATGAAACTTTTAATTTAAATCAATTTATTTCTTAAGTGAAAAGAAAATATAATTTAATTTACCAAAAAAAATATTTATAATGTTTCTAAAATATTTTTTAAGATTATTGTAATCTAAATGAGATTGTGTACCATATGTTTTTAATGGTTCATGAAAAGTAAAATAGTATTTAATGAATAGAAAAACTAAAAATTGGAGAAAAACTTGAATTTTAATATATATTTAGAACTCAGGAAAATAACTTTAATAAACTAGATCAAGTGAAAAATGCATATAAAAACTATCACTGGAAAAGGGACGATAATGTGAATAATATTTGAAAATTATGCAAACATATATCAATTGAATTATAACTATTTTATTTAATCAATAAAAATAATGACAAAGAATAGTCTTCTTCAACAAGATAATACGATAAAATAGTAAACTATCACATAAAATTATTCAATAAATATTTAATATAGTTTTACTGTGCATATTTTTCAATCTTCCCCGAACAAAAAAGATTTCGAATAAACAAGCTAACTTAGATAATGAATGTTTGTCAACCAAAATTTTCATGCAATATTTTTAACCATGACTTTTACATATTATTATTTTCAAAATTCTATTTCAACTTTCAATATCTTTGACACATTTAAGTATGTAATGTACTTCTTTTGTTCGATTAGTTGAAATAATAATGCAAAAAATTGAATACACCATGAAAAAATAAAAAATAAAATATAATTTATAAAATTAAAATATAAATTATGTATCACGTACGTTGCATGTTGTGAAAATATATTTTTTTTTTCATGTTATTTTATATGAGTTTTTTACTTTTGGGTTACGTGCTAGGTGCATGGACATCATTCTCGATCTATCATACTTTTTAATCAAAATACAAGTTTATAATGTGATATCATACTCTTACTTTTGTTGTTTCCTAAAGTATGTTATGTAATCAAAACATGTATATTGGTTAAAAACGTATAATTTCATTATTAAAAATATAAATTTAAACCCGTATAATTTTTCATATTGAACATATAAAATAATAAATATTTTAATTCTTTAATATTTAATATGTAAGAAATGTAACTCAAATGATAAATTAATAGGTAATGTTAAGATAAAATTTTGAGCGATCTCTGAAAAAAAATATAAGAACTAAAATGTTCATGTATTTTATGTATTTTAAATATAAAATTTGTAAACACAATTAATCAATAAATACTATATGAAAATTATCGTTTAAGAAGACTACAAAAAGTTGCTATATTGCAATGAAAAATTCAACGGTAAGATATTCTACTGAAAATTCCAACAGATATTTTATAGGTTGCTTTCATTGCAAAATTTCATTGGCTATTCAAAGTTTAAATTCAATTAACTTTAGTGGATTAATGATTTCAATTATCTTAATTTCTATTGGAATTTTTTTTTTGGACCATAATTCAATTGTTGGAAAAATTATCATTGGAATTTTCAAAAATTCAATGGAAGTTCCATCAGAAAGCTAATTGCAATGACAGATCCAAAATAATTTCATATAGGGGACACTATTTATTTAAAAAAATATATCATCAAAATAGCATGTCATTGCAATTTATTAATTATATTATAAATAATCTATCGTCTTTCTCATTTCTAATACATTTTGACAATTCAATACAGTCACAATAAGTTGAAAATATTTAAGAAAACAAAAAGCATGATTTTTCTCATTTCAACATAAAAATATTGTGTGTATTTGACAATTCAATATAGTCACAATAAGTTGAAAATATTTAAGAAAACAAAAGGCATGATTTTTCTCATTTCAACATAAAAATATTGTTGAATTTATGTTGTAGTATAATTGATTCGACAATATAATTGATGAATTTATAAATTATAAATATATAACTAGAATTCCACATATATTAGTTAAAAAAGATACAAAAAAATATATTTTGAAGTTAGAGACAAAAAAATGGCAAAAGAGAGAATGTAAGTTATCATCAAGATTTAAAAAAATAGAACTAAAGGGTAAAATTGTAATTTTGAGATTTCCCATATTTTCTTTAGTTGTGACTCGTGATAGTGCGGGTATGTTATAATATTAATAAAGTTATGAGTTCAATTAAATTATATTTTAATGATTTATAAATTATTTTTTATGTATCTTTTTTTTTTTTTTTTAATTTCATTTTCAAAATAGGAGGTATGATTAAAATTATAAAAAAAATTCCCACAAATTTTGTTAGATACCTTATGCTATATGCTATGGGATGGGGCATTTGTCGGGCCTATTAAATAAACATGGATTTACTTATGATTCCAACAAAATATTTTTGTTAAAATTTTATTGAAAAATGCAAACGGGATTAATAACATTAAAATATTTGTTAGAATTATCGTTGTAATGTAGTTTTGTTGTAATTTTCGTTGCAGTTTTCTCATTTTATTGTATGGCCGGGATTTACGGGTCTTGGAACCGGACCTGTGGTAAAACCGGGTTGGTTTCGGGTCGTATTTTTTCTTATTTGACCGCCGGTTCCGGGCCAGAAGGCAGGTTCATTGGGTTAGGGCGGGTCATTTGAATCGGCCCATAGATAGCCGGGCGGGTTTCGACCCATCATTTGAGGCACGTCAAGCCAGCGGGACGGGTAGGGTCATGAACCGGCCCGACCTTTGGACATGTCTAATTATATATAATATTGTGTGCAGTTAATTATTATGAAAATTTTGATATGAGAGAAAATACAACATATTTAATAACATTGTCATTTAATTTATGATAGTAATTTTTGTTTTCAAAACAAACAAGATACTTTGAAAGGTCCCCAATTATTTTACTGGTATTATAATAACTAAATAAGGGGTGAGAATGATGAGAAAGCTTATAATTCGTAATAAATCCAAAAGTAAAATTAGTGATAAAATTACTTATTGTCCAATATCAATTGAAGTTGGCTCATGAGAAATATAAAATTACTCAGCTAAAATCATTCGTTACTACGTGCATCGCACGTGCACTTTACTAGTAGAGTAAAACATCCATGTATTACGTGGTCCTAATAAAAAAATTACCCATAAAATGAATTATATGAATAAGTTTATTTAATTTATAAGTTATTTATTATTTTTTAACTAGTATTAATGGAAAATTAAAATGTTAACACACACACAAACACACACACCAATTTATTACTTATATGCAATATAGATATATCATATCTAAGCTTGTTGATAGATTATTAATTTCATGTATTGTGTATGAAAATCATATCTAATACGAATGTTATTAACTTTAAAAATTATATTTATATAATTTAAGTTAGGCAAGTGTTTTATAATCTTAAAGTCCTTGTAGGCGTGAATAGAAGTTCAATTTATATGGACCAGTTTGAGGCATGAAAAATTGATTACGAAGCACTAGAAATGGAAATGGATATATAAAATTACGAAATATAATAAGTTGACACATAAGTTCGAGAAACCTTACACTTATGTGTATAGGGAATTTTATCTTATATTCGTGCTAAAATTATAAGATAACGTTACAGTTCCGTTACAGTATGATTCTATTGATATATATGTTTTTAACCGTATATTAAAAATACCAAACAAAACCATATAATCAATAAGAAAGATTCTAGAAACGAGGTTTTGATGTTCCTTTTTCTTCTGCATTATTATTATATTTATTGAAATAATTTGTAATAAATTATGCTATTGATTATTTTTCCTTGAGAAAAATAAAATAACGTACGAACATGTGACAAAATACAAGTTGACCTATAGGAGTCTTGTTTTCCAAATAAGCCATGTGCCTAATGTACGCAGTGTAGGATGGAGTTTTATTTTAATAAATATATATTTATTAAATAAATATATATTTCTGTACTTAATTGTCATACTAGAAAAAAATAATATTTCAGTGTAGGATGGAGTTTTATTTATTTATTAATTAATTTTTATCTATTATTTTAGACAATTC